CTAATATTTTGTTTGGGGTGGACAGGAGCATGATTCTTCACCAGTTCTTGCAAAGTATTAGGTCTCCCTTCTTCGGGAGTTTGACAAGATAGCCCTTCTTCCAATCAACCGTCAGGTACCTTTCCTTCCTTCCTTCCTTCCAAACAATCTGCAGTAGTGGTGTGAGCATGTCCGCTTTTGTCTCTGCGCCTGTTTTTAGTGCTACTGGTGGAATTGCATCTGCTCCTTCTGCTTTCCCGGATTTGAGCAGCTTTATAGCTTTCAGGACTTATCCTTTTGTCGGAGGGTTTGTATTTACTGATAGTTCTGTGGGTGCTGGTGGTATTTCTGGACGAGTTGCAGTTGGTGTTGGTCGATTCGAGAGTTTTCTAAAGTCGTCAGCCCATTGTTTCCTGTGTTTCTGCTCTTTGCTGACTAAGTTTCCTTCACCATCTTTTACTGGGATTGTCTGGCTTGACCACTTCCCATATGGTTATTTGAAATAGTGTTGTCAGGTCTCTCCTACGAGCAGCCTGTTCTGCTTCACTTGTAAGTGTGTCGTAGAAGTGTGTTTTGTCTTTGTGCGCACTCTTCTTCACTTCTTTGTCCAATGTTTTATACGTTGTATTCAGTTCCTCTTCTCGTTGTTCATCCTTGCACTGGTTTATCTTCTGTTTCCAACCGTCAGGTGCCTTTCCTACCTTCCAAACCTTCTGCGTGATCAGCAGTTAGGTTTCGTTGATTAATTGGTAAGCAATCAGGCGGATAATTCAGAGGCCGATGGGTTGAATTATGGTGTTATCCAGTCATCATGGCTGTACGTACCTGTTCCAGTCTGCCAATTCACAGCTATCTTAATGTAGTCATGGTTGTTAGTTATTACTACACGATTTATATTTCTCTAATCCCCACTACTAATCATCTCTCACACCATAAATGGTGCCGCATTTTGTAACCGTATTCGTATGATTTCGGTTTGTTCTATTGTAATTCATACCTTGAAATTCTCATTTATTCCTAATGTATATATATATAGGGATTTCCAGTTGTAGTTTAACATTGCATTTGATTGTAGAACATTTATATATTTGAAGTCTAGTCAACAATTATCTAATCTTCGTTTCTCTTTAGGTCCTTTAACATTCGTTTTAGTCCAGTTAAAATGTTTTCGATCTGAACAATAGTTTCCTTTATACCTTACACTGGTTACTTTCAATAACATTCATTGTTCTAATATAGAATCATCAATTTGTGAATGACTTAGAAATACTACAGATCAGATTGAGTGGTTTGTAACTACTCAAGTTGTTCAGTAGTAGTATCTTTCCCTCTTGGTCTTGCAACTTCAGATTCTGACAAGAAACAATTGAAACATCTTATCCCAGTGAACTATTGTTGTAGACTGCAATTCAGTCATGATTAAATAATGATGAAAAGTTGGGTTTCCGTAAATTTTGCCTATCTAACTTAGTGATATTTGATACGGCAATAAAAAATTGCATTTCTCAACCTAATTCTCTCTATGTATTTCATACAAATAAATAAAATGGTGATTTTGTATTTTCGTCTAATTTAAAGATTTATTCGATGGGGCTGAGGTTTCTTTCTCTGAACTGCAGTTGGTATTAGTACCTTATATTACAATTATCCATTAACATAGAAAACGACGAATTTGTGGTATCCTTCGATTTCACAGCACATCTGTTGAACCCCAATTGACCAAGGAAACTATGTCCCTTCTGCTCAGTGAAGACACAAACCTTTCAGAACAAACAAAACCCAAATGTTCAAGTCTTATGGAACTCATCGACCTTTATATGGCAACATACTTCCAATTCAACGGCATGATATACCACCAGATGAAATGAAGTTCAATGGAATCACCGATATGCGGACGAAGTGCAGAAGCAGTAATGGAGAAACTGGAAGTCATTATTCTGCCTGTGATCAAACCAAAAGTTTTGATTCGCTATGAGGACGGCACTTTTGTCATCATTAAAGAAGATGATATAGAAAACACACAGAGTTTGATCAACAACGTTTTCAGTGACATCATATTGACAATGGAGAAAGAGTCAAACAACCAACTACCATTCCTGGAAGTTGTAGTCAGTAGGATGAAACCTGGAAAACTGGAAACCCAAAAGTACAGGAAGCCAAAACACACTGACCAAATCCTCAACAACAGCTGCAACAACACAACAACCCACAAGATCATTTGCTTGCAGACTCTATTCAGAAGAGCGAGGACACACTGAAGTACAACAACTTCACGGAGAAAAGAAGAAAATTACTTGGTGTCCATCCTAAAGAAGAACGGCTACCCATGAAACTTTATCAGAAGATGCCTATCCCGTACATCATCAACTACAACGTCATTGACAGAAATCAATAAACGCATCATCCTACCAAACATAAAGAATATATCAGAAATCACGACAAGATTACTGAAACTACTTGGAATTGTTGTGGCTTATAAACCAACAAATCCCCTGCAAACACTATTATTCAGACCAAAGGATGCAACAACCAAAGAAGACAAACCGAATATCATTCACAAAATCAACTTCAGTAACTGTAGTCAACATTACACTGAACAAAGTGGTAGCTCTCTTCGCCTTCATGTACATGAGCACCAATTTGCTATTAAATGTCACTACATTTCATCATTCATTTCAATGCATGTGGATAATTATGGATGTGAATTCAATTTCAACAATATAGAAATTTTGGACAGAGGAAACACAAAAAATATCAGAGAATTCCTAGAAGCTTGCATTCAGGTCAGTCAGCAATCAACAGATATGTAGACACAAACCCAATCGACCAACCAGTAAGAAAGATGATAAACGACAGAAAGGTCAGAGGCCAAACAGTGGGACAGCCAACAAGAAAAGCTATACAGTCAGTGACAACAATCAAAGGAAACAACCAATCACAGACCGCTTCGTCAAGGCAAGCTACTAAATCACTCACGGAGTGACAGTGCTGATGGTGTCGTCTAGCAATACGATGAAAGCTTCACGATTAAACAACCCAGGTCAGAGGACACAATACAACCAAGACCATCCACCTGGGCTACAAATATTCTCCACTAGTTCAATTATCCATTCAGTATTATATACTATGGGATGCGATAAGTTTTAAGTATTTTACATGTTTTGAATAACAATATAACAAAAAGAACAAATGCTGTGGAATATATACTTTGTCAAAATATTTCAGCCCACGAGTTTGATGTTTAGTTCTGAAAAGCACTCAAATTGCTGAAAAAAGATTTTTTGAAATGAAAATGTGTAAAGTTGTGTGTGAACCTATTTCACCTGATATACACGCTCCAAATATAGGAGTTAGAGTGCAGCCGTAGTTTTTTCAAGGACTTATACACCCATCTTCCATTTTATAATCTAACTTTCTCTACACTTTTTTTATAATCGCTCCACAGTGAAGCCGTTGCTGCAAAACCGATGAAATTTGTGCATGAACTGATGTTCTGCATGATAGATCATACATTTTAAGAAACATATTTTCTCGTTAAACTATAAATGATCGAAACAGGACATTTGTATTTCCAGTGTTAGTATTAGGCATCGTGATGGATACAAGTAGTTTTACTAGACACCCTGAAGAGTTTTTCGTTTCATCAATACCGTGTGAAAATATGATATTTGGTGTCAAAACCAACTGAAGTTATATGAGTAATTTAAAGGTGGATCGCTTGTATTGTCCGAAGTCCATAGCTCTACTACATCACACGTTTTAGATAATCTCCATCTCTTCATTAAGCTGTTTAAATAACTTTTATGCCGATATTATTATCATGTATAAACAACGTTATCTGGTTTGTCACCACTTACTATTTTCACATTCGGTAACTTGTACAGGTTTTATTTGCAAAACGTCAGAAACTAATTTATCTGACTTATTCGGATTTTACAACTATATTTCATTGTCGAACGCTTAGTTGGAAGTGCCATCCAGATGTTTAATGCCGAGCAAAATTCATCATTTATCTGCATACATTTAAAGCATTTTAAATACCAGTTGCTTACGGAGCAATATGGCTCTCAATAAAATCTTTTTCTCAGAAGCAGAAGATACTAACTAGATTCAGATAGGTAGTGACGTGTTCACGTCCAAAAATCATTTTGATTTATTTCAGATGAAAAGGACTCCAAGCAGGATCATACCTTTAACAGTTCAGGTTGTAACAGATCTCAAACTAAGGCTTTATTTTTAACCCAGTAATTGGCTCAAACTTTAGACCAATTTTACAGGACCATGAAGCAGGCGTGTCATACAGTACCACTTATCTAGTTATAACAAGTTCATGATGAAGTGTACTGAAGTATTAGATAGCGCTAGATAGTAACTGTTTTTTACGATGGTAATTAAAACTCTTAGAAAATATATTTAACCCACTTGGAGTATTTGCATCTAACTTCCACGTCACACCATTGGTGTCACTCGGAACACCCTGCTTAAAATGACCGAAATGAGACTGAAGAATTTGTATAGGATTAAGTGCAAACTGGGTGCGACGTTCTTCAATGTTCTATCTATTCCTTGTTTCAACGTAAATGACTCCTGATTGGGTGCATCATTTAATGCTTAAGGTTCTTACTCAAACATCTAGTAAATTCAGTTACTCTAGTATTTCAATCTGCCATAAACCCGACAGTTGATTAATTCTTTGGTAACCTTTATGGTCTAACTTATCGAGAAGTGTAACACCATATTTCAACTATGAGCATAATGCTAGTCTCTTATCTCCAATTTATTTTACTCATTACAATGGAGGCAATTTCCAAATATGGTGCAGAGTCAATATATGTGCACACGTTCATATAGGTACATGATATCGGAAGTGAAAATCACGATTTTCGAAAATTATCATACCTTACACTTACATTTACTGTGAACAAAATATATGGCAAAACATAAATGAAAACACCGACAAAAGAGGATATATTTTACAAACGCCAGTTTCTGCTTACATATTTTATTTATGTTTTTTTTAGGACACAAACCTTGTTTTGGAACACGTGAAGCACTGACTTCACCAGTCAAATGGATAACTTATGCAGAAGTAAGCCAAAAGATTGAAAAAATAAAGTCTATGGTCGTAACTTTCAGGTGTATGAAAAGATTCAACTAATGGGATCGGCACTGACGAAACTAATGGGGGAAAATCCTAAGAATAATTTTGTTGGAATATATGGGAGAAATTCCCCAGAGGTAAAATTTTAATATAACCAATTAAGTACAACTGTGTCAACAAATGGTAAAATGAAGTGTAACGAAATTAGAATTCACATGAAATTTTTAACCGTAAAAAAGCAGTTGAAGTGTTTATTAATAAGTCGCAATCAAGCCGAAACGTACAGAAATGTTAGCTTGAAAAATTATTTCCGAAGCACAACTTTAAAATATTTATGCAGAACTGATAGAAGGAGGAAAGTTGCTGACTTACTTTTAAGAATATTTAGTTAAAATACCGAGATTTATTTGATTTCTACGAAATACTTTAAGCAAAACTAGCTATGAGAAATTCAGATAGTCTCACCTTAGTTCAGAAAGACCCTTGTACTATATTAAATTATGAATGCGCAACTAAGGCAACAGTCGTAACGAATGGAATAAAGGATAAATTACGAATTTGTTTGGGATTTATGCAAAATTTTGATTACTGATAGGAAGCAATGTCCTCATTTGGTACAGCTGTCGTGAATATCATCATGTAAAATAAGTCAGTTTAACTGGTTAACTTTTTGTAAGCTGTCTCACTAGGTCATGATAAACGTCTGTATTGTGATTCTATTCGACTTTTCACACTTCTACATTTGAAGCAAGACTTTAATTTAGTACATACTGTTTAAAAGTTCTGTGCTGTAACCAGTGAACAACAACTCCAATGGTGAGATTTTGTATCTTTTGGATATGTCATTGCAAGTGTGTAGAAAATATGTGATTCACTGAAATGACTTGTTCCTAGTTGGACCTATTCACAAAACAAAACATGATACACCCAAAACTACTCTGGTTGCCGTACCGTATTCTATATCAATTTTGAGTTAAACCACTGATTTTAGAACATAGTAGTAAGTGCATTTACTATCTTCCAGTTTACTGACGATTAAAACTGTTATATTAACCAATGATAACTATTTTTACGCCAGGTACCTGTTATTTCTTTTTTTCTACATTCACCGTTATCCTCTAATCCACATACTTGGATTCTAATAACTATAATGATATCAGAAGTCTTTCTTGAACTGTTTTTTTAATGTAGTCACAAAACCTGGTAAAAAATTATCTCTATACATACTTTTATAGTCGTGTTCACAATTACAATTAGTAGCTAAGATTCTTCATCATCTTGATTAGAAGTTAACATTGATATATAGGTGCAGTTTTCGATATCACCCTTTGGATTCCAGTATTATATTTTATTTCTTATTGAAGCCTAAGCTATGTTCGATGGTTACCTGTTAAATAATAATGAATTAGCCTCACTTTACAATGTTTGCCTTCGTAAAATAACTGTTTTCAAGCTGCTTGGCAATCACCTGATCTGTGTTAAAAATTTATTACAACGCAGAAGTATCCTAATCATTTAACCGCTGTACCAAAATTATCTTCTCTCAATAAAACATAAAGCCAGGCACTGAAATAAAAAAACACGTTTAATGTAAACCAACTAGTGGACTACCATTAACGCCACTACTTGCTTACTTTGGTAGCTTTGGAATTTAGCCATCTAGGGGTCAGTTTGTGATTTTGTACCAGGGAATTAATTATGGTGATGTTAAATTACCAAATATTCGAAACAATATCACTTCCAGTTGCTTTGAAACCTTCATGAAACTGTAACCTAAATATATCAAAAACTGAAACACTGTTTTCTATACTAATGTTTCGTTATTTGATACTGATAACTTTGTCAAAGTGTTAATAAACCGAAATCTGTAATATAAAAGCTTATTTCTACTAATCCAGCCCAATTTTTATTCTGTACCGAAAACCTTGCACTTATAAAGTAGGGGAATATGATAATATGTATGGCTTATTCAGGGTTATCTGTGTACGAATAAGTATAATTATTATCTATTTGTGTTGGTTATATTGGCGATGAAGTAAAATCAGTTTGAGTTACACTTCATTGGCTGTTTCCTGTTTAGATAATGTTGCTTCCATTTTATGAAATATTGTACTGTAAGATATTCTTTATAGTTTATAAACTTTGTTTGATTTAGGTATCATTCACGTTTATCTTGTAATGTGATACAATAACATTGAGATTAATAGCTGACATTTCTTTCAAACCCTTTTGGGTTCTATTTGATCTCTTAGGGATTGTGGCTAAGTTGTTCTTCCTTTGTAACACTTCCTCAGAGTCACATAATTCATGCGGTCAACTGTATTCCATAACAGACTTGTCTTAAGTTCCTTCTGTTCATTACCCACCTGTTTTAGTGTCTCTCTAAGAGACTCTGATGAATACCTTTTGCCACTGAATCATCCTACTATCTTTCTCATACTTATCTTCTTAATATCTGTAGATACTCATACTGTTTGTGGACAGTGCATAAAATATGAAAATATTGTTAGGTAGCTGTCACATTATTTTGTATCTAGATTTTGGAATCAACCAAATAGTTACATAATCCCAAACGAGCACTTAAAATGAGTGATGTTATCTAAAAATAATTTGAGTGGAAATTTCATAAATATGCGACAGCAAAATTACACTTCAGACTTCATTTTACGAGAAAGGCGTTCCTAGTCGCCACTAATAATTCGAAACCACAGGTAGTAACCAACATATTTCGCTAGACAAATCACTTTAGTCGTTTACGATAAAGTTCATTAGCAATGTGTCTGTGATGATTAGATTTGCGTAAACAAACTATTCATAAAATCTGGCCAGTGACTTATACATAATGAGAACCCTGAAAGTCAGATAGGGAACTTGAAAGCTACACACAGAAGAACAACGTAATCACTCTTCATTTTGACATTCACAAATGAGGGGTAGAATCTAGAAATCAACTTGTTATTTTAAGTTGTTTTATTTGTTTTAGGTAAAGTTAGTTTAGAAAATCACTATTCCAGAGAAGCCAGTGGTTAATTTTCAAGTTCACGAAAGTAATCTTCTCAGTGTTATTACAAGTTGAAGAATTCCTAATTCATGAAATAAGTGCTCACAGAAAGGAATGGAGGTTATACTTGTGACGCAGTTAGCTATTATGACTTAGGATGTCGGTTGGGATACAGTAATCTCTCCTATTCTGGTAAACTATCGCTTAAACGATTATACTTTAATTGCTTTGTCCATTGCTAGAAGTTTATTTTACTTAGGAAACATTTTCTTGTTTCTATACCCTGTTCTCGCAAACCCTTATAAGCTAAGTGAAAAATGCTTTCTCAGGCATAACAATTTGTTCAAATAGGTGATTTGTTTCGAAAATAAATAGAGGTTAATTAAGAAGGAAGTCATTGATAACTTATAATATAAAATACCTAAGTTTACCTCGGTCAATAGATTGATATCCACCTAATGAGAAGTAACTGAAGTTAAATGAACATACATGACTTTAACTCAACGCCACAACCACTTTCCAACTGAAAGAATTTTATGATCCATTTCTTTACGTGAGTTGTTTGGCGAACTCATTGTAAAGGAGAGCTAGCCTACTTTATTGCTTAAAGAATGAATTATTACTTTGCAGAAAGATAAAAATTATTTTTTTTCAATATTCAAAAATTCTTTTGAGAAACTTATAAGAAAATTTGTATCCATTATAATACATATGAAGTAGATCACTTAAGAATTGACGTTTGAAAGAAGCCTTGAATAGTACCTTGAAAAAAGGACTGAATTTCAGACTATTGATTGTGTTTTGTAGGCATTAACAAATCAGTACTGCCGTACATCAAGTAGTTGTTTACTTCCTATTTCTTTTGTTTGTATCATACAACACACACCTTAATACTAACAGTCAAGCAACAAGTAGTTCGGGTATTAATTTCTCAAATTCTCAGCATTATACCCATGTGCAACTTTTACTATTTTAAACCTTGTACAGTTTTAGTGGTTCTCAGGATTGCTAAATGGAAAAAATGACACAACTGCTGAAAAACGTTTCATTACTATTAATTATCAATTTTAACGATTTCGAAGACAAATCCTTGACAAATAATGCATCCCACAAAGCGCATAAAAGTGACAACTGAGTTTTAAATAGCACTCTGGATAAAGGGATATTTTAGGTTTTCATACAGTCATATTTTCCTAACTTGAAGTGAACAGACTGTCGTTTCTCTTCATTTTTACGACTGTGGCATTGTTACTGATAAGGCAAATTTGTTTATTTTTAGTGGGTTATAACACAGTTGGCTAATACCGCCTACTCATTTGTAACAGTACCTTTGTATAGTACTTTCGGCACTGAAGCAATTACTCATGTTTGCAGCGAGAGTAAGTTTGTAAAAGTTTATATATATACATATACATATATATATATATATATATATATTATATATATATAGTTGGCGGGCTGCTTGAATTTTTTGCGACCAATGAAATTTTCCACCAGGCATTCTATATCAGATTACTCCCTTTCAGTTTGTTTTCATCTACCAGTTATGTCCTTCAAACGTATTACGTCTTTTTGGGGATTTTCAAAATGTTCTTAAATAGTTGTTTTTCGAAGTTACCACATAAATAAAGAAAAATGTTAGAAGGAAATTGGTTTTTAGATACACAAAAGTACATCATATTTCCTTCCTTCGAATACCTATTCCGAGTAGTACATTATTCGCTGGTTGAATGAAACACCACCAATAAACACCGTACGTTAATCCAACACCAACTGGTTGCTTAACATTATTACTCTTGATGCTGTTTTTGTGGACATCATTCAGGCCCCATAATCATTTCGTTTGAAAATATTGTTTTGGTAGTAAATTTGTTTATTATTTGCTGTGAATTCCATAATGTATCAAACATTTTGTTTGGAATAACGCTACTATAGTTTTTAAAAAAATTAATTATATACTTGAAACAAACATACGACAAGTCTATATGATCAATAATTTGCCAAGATGGAACCACTTTATAGCAATTTAACCAAACCTATTTAATGTTAGATTATTAGAACTTTGAACTGCCTCTGTACGAAACGATAAGTTTAACTAAGCTCACTGATGATAAAGTAGTCAACAAATACAGACCAGTTATCACCTCATCTTAATCATATTAGATTCGATTAGTAGCTTTGTAAAATCAAGCATAGTTTATCGTTAAGTGTTGAAATCTGGATTTTTATATAAATCCTTTATGGAGCTACGATTATTCCTCTCGAGGAATAAGTTTTGTGCACAAATTAAACGTTCTACTGGAAAGATTTGTATCTGAGAGGAAGAATGACAATGATTTGTTCTTTCAGCTTCTGTGCTTGATTGGAAATGCGTCATTTCCAGGCCTAATAAAATGAGTAGCGCTATTTTTATGATGTTAGGTATGCTTCAGGGTGATACTAACATATTTAAGTAGCGTCTGATCACTTTTATAGTTTTATTGAAGATTAAAGCTGCAATAACACGAAACCATTACGTCTTTGATCCATTAGTCTAAACAAAGTTGTATTAATCAGTTGAAAGTTAAGTGAATGAGTAGTTCGTTAGCAAACGTAACTATTTGATCAATTCAGAAACAATTAAAAATGAACATCCAGTTTTCATAACTTAAGTTGTACCAGCCATAAATTTAATTAAATTTCACAAAATAATGTATTCTCAGTAATCATATCAAAAATAATTTTCGATTAATTTGTAAGTAGTTCCTATATATAAACAAGGTTGCAATTTAAAACTATTTCAATACAGTTTAAGTCTCTCCAATAGCGCACAACTCTGGTCCTACACAGAACACAACCTGGTTCACTAGACTTTATTATTACCCTAAGGTTGAGCGTGTTGTAGTCTATTACTTAAGTGAAAGGTACACTGATAGCTAGCGGAGATATTATATAGAACTTTATATGACTAACTTGCAGAGATATGCGGTTGTTGTGTAAACACGCAACTACGACAAAGTTTGACTCCGTGTTTGGACTGCTGCAATTATTATTTGGTTTATATGAATTACTTTTAACATCCACACTAGTTGAGCATATAAAGTAAATCTTGACATCGTACTATGTTTATATAGTATTTTTTCACGACACTAATAATAGGTTTATCCCAAACAAGATGTATGTTGCTGTATGGAATTCCTAGCATGCAACAGTCTAACAAATTTATTCTCTGCACAACATCTTTAAGCGAAATAAACGCATTTGAATAGTGTTTATAATAACAGTAATAAGAGCCACTATGTTAAACAGGCACCTGGTATTACATGAACATATGATTTGGACGGGTTAATGAATAGAATATCAAAGGTAATTTTGGTGGTAGTAGTTTATTCAGCCAGTATCAAAATCTACAATTCGAAGCTGTTATCTAAGGAACAGTAATGTTCTGTATTTCTGTGCATTCATAAACCCATCTCTTACTGACGTATTGTTTATTATTTGGTTTGTTGCTAGCTTGAAAAACGCTAGTTTGAAACCACTTTAAAAGTGTGCAGTGTTGGTATGTTGGCTATCATCTGTCGCTGACTTAACGCTAGACAATGAATACTACATTATGTTCTGTAGTAATGGAATTATTCTCGATATAAGAGATGGGTTAAATACACATGATTTGCAACAAGACTTAAAAAGCTGCAGCTGTTGTGTCTGTTATTAGTACGAAATCTGTTTGACCACATTTATAAATCTAGTTACAGTTTTTCAACAAGTGATAAATAGCAACAACTAACGATGTAAGAAGTTTGTAGCTATGAGTTTTTAGTCATGCATCTTTGTAAGCACGAAACATTTTTGTTGTACATAGAATAATGCTAGGATGAAATATTTCTTGCAGCTAATTCGACAAAAGCATATCTTCATAGAATATGATATTTATGGATGTGTGAATTAAATTCCTTGAGTTTCGTAGTTAATCATGACTATTTTTATGACTAATTAATCGAATTCTGGGATTCATATCTGTGACTCTAAAGCCAGTATCATAGATCTCATTCAATCTAACAGAGCAAAAACAAGTGCAGGATTACCTTTAAAAAGATTGGCTTTTAATAGCTGGCTTGGTACTGAAACATTAAATTTTTCAATCTAGGTTGCAGCATCCAACATCATTTAGCTATCAAATTCCAGCTTCTTTTATTCGTCGTAATATATTTGTTCATTTGGCATAAGTTTGGGAACAATGTCATCCTGAGTGGGGTTTTTAGTTAACGTGCATCTTTATGTGACCATTCGCTTGTCTTTATCCTTGACCTACCTATGTATCTCGCTATGAAAATATCAAAGGGTAAAGAATTTGTTCTGAATATCACTTTACTCAATTTATCGATATGGTTACAATGTTACAGGTAAAATATATTGAGAAATTAACTGTCGTGTACAGAGTTTTTTGGACCATGTCAAAGAGATGGTTTGTTAAACAAATTATTTGATAAAGTCTCTAGCCATTCTAAAAGAAAGATTACAAATCTTTAGCAGTAAAATTAAGCTCATTGAAATCCATGTACAAAACCACTGCACTTTTAGTCAGTAGGATATTTGTTTTTACTAATATTTCGATACCCCTATCATAAAAATTTATCGATTGCCTTCGATTATTTTATATCGTGTTTATAATAAATGTTATATCTTTTCACGAATACATTTTAGCTGAGCTAAGAATTATCACATGTGATACAGTAGCTCAAGCATATAATTTATACAAATTAATGCCAAAATATATTGAAACATTCATCGTTATGAAGCCAGACGACACATACCCAAGTGTTAAGAAAGAGCTGTCTGACAAAGTGAAACTGTTCACATTCGAGGAAATGTTGGTAAGTTGAGTAAATCAAAACATATTGCCACTTTTCTTGGAACAAAAATAGTGTGATTTTGAATAATTATTTCTAAACGACTTGGGATAAGTATCCACTTTCTTTTCTTGTTAAATCACTTTTAAGGCATATTTTTTACAGTGTCTAAAAAGAACACATCCAGATATTGAATAACGTTTTACTATGTCTAAGTGAAAAGACGGCTTCTTTCAATACAACCGTTTCTTCTTCGTTTAAACGGAAGCTCTAATGCTTGTAAATTCCAAAAATTTTAATCGAAAATTATTTTGCGTCTATTTAAGTGGACATTTACAATCTCGTTTTCGCTTAAAGTAGCTGTTAGATTAGCTAGCTTGACATGAGATTTTACCTGCACCAATTGCACATATGAATACGGACTGATAGACTCCAGCTTTCTAGTTAAAAAGCTTTCTTCATGGTTATAAAAATGATGAACTAAAATAGTCATCTTAGTCAAAGAAAGCAATTTAAACTTCATCTGATTTTGATCGGTTTCCAGTACATTTGGGCATGAATCACAATACTAGTTATTTTCACAGCACCTAAAGAATACAAATGTATATGGAAAAGATTATCACGGTGAAGAAATGTCAACTAAGTTGTGCCATTTGACCTCTGTTGGCAGATGGTCTTCTATACGGATGCCTCGATACTGCAAGATGTTCACGATGTAAAACTGACGTTGATGACTAGCAGAGGAGCCCAAGGACCACGTCTCGTCCCATCTGGGACTCTTCAGCTGAGTGTAACTCCACCCTAGTGAGTGATGTTGTTCTCAATGATGCTCAAACCCAGCACCCTTCGCTTCAAACGCCAGAGTGTTATCCACTAAGCCAGTGGGTCACGACAGCCACCTCTTTTTAGCAGGTGTTGGTGGGAACAACATTGCTCACTGAGGTGCAGTTACGTGAAGCTGACGAATCCAAAAGAGGATGAAACACGTGTTCTGGATTCCTCTGCTAATCACCAAGAACAATATAAGTTATTTCGTTAACCACTTCGGTCATAAATTAACTTCAATATACACGTGTTTTTTGTCAATCCTGTCAACAAATGTCAGTTCTAATCAGGTGCAGCATTATTTTGAATGAATTATTCACTTCAAAATAAAACTGAATGGTATTTACTAAGGATTTCGTTACAGTTTGCATCATAACATACTGCCTTTATTGGTAACGTATGTAACACTAATAGCAGTGATTTGAGAAAATGTCAAATTCATAATAGACGGTTGTAAATACTACAGCATTTCAATCAATTTTATTCATTATATACATTATATGGCTATCACTACTTTATTGTAGTTTAACCTTTGAGATTCATGTGATAACAAATGCTGTTATAAAGGCCAGCGTGTTGATTTTCATTTGTTCATCCTTGAAAACTAATACTTTCCAAACATATTGATTCATATATAAACGGATCGCTAAAGACATACTGGGACTTTTGTCTCTTCTTTACTCTGGATGTGTTTCTGAAGGCTACAATGTTTCCCAGTTGTATATATCTAACTACAATTAACATCATCATAAGCAACAGATTTTCTAGATGAAGACACTAAAAAAGGTATTGCATTCTTAGATATAAGTTGGTTGGAGGCAATCGGCAGGAAGCCCTGGACCTAGGTTTCGTGCTTTCTGGCACTCGTCAGCAAGGCGTATCTGCAACCTCGACGGAACTGATGTCCCGCCTGAGACTCGAACCCGCGTCACCCAATGTTGTAGTCAGCGACTCTACCACTGAGCTATTCGGGCCGTGACTGACCTCCTGTAGGACTGGTTCACATGTATTGATTGGTCACGGGAGTGCAACCAGTTTGGTGCTTTAAAACTGGTCTGTACTCACCTATATTTTTAGTATACAAACAAACTTTTTGACTGAAGTACAGCCTAATAACTTTTAAAAAATAGTACCAAATTGCCTTTTACAAACGCTGCATGCATAATAATAGTAATAATAACAGTTTGATGATGATTTAGTGACATCGTAACTCAATCTTAGTTTGTTGACAGTGAACCAATATTACCAACTGGATAACATTTGAAATACAACTGGTTGTTTACAGTTATATGAAAGTAACTTCGATAATTCCAAAAAGTGGTTTGTGTAGTTCCAGTTGTTAATCCTTTGTATTGAAGGCAGTAAAGTTTTCCAGTTTATTTGTACGTGTGCTGGATCATTCCTTTCGCAAGCGTTTGTTGATTCGAGAAAAATGAATAGCTTATCGACCTACCTCTTCACCTAATTAGGTTTGTATCACGGGCTGAAATTTCGTTTCAACTTGATATTTGATTTTATGTAATTGCATGCATAGTTATAACCAAGCTTTCCTCTAGGCTTCTTATCTTACTAGAGTCTAGTTATCTTGATTTCGCATAGCTTTTATTCTGGGATAACCCAATTCACCGAGAAAAACACGATTTTCACTTATGATTCATGATCATTCCAAAAAATTTGACTTACCAAGTTGTTCTTAATTGAAACACTAGAATCCTTAAAGCTGTAAGGCTTGTTTCTACTGGAGTTTGTTGGTTCACTTGCCACTATTTTTCCAGCCTTATTGAGAATCACAAGTAACATTCCTAAGACGACTTCTCCGTGTGGTAAATTATTGAGGTCTTACCACTAATGTTCATATTTTTGAAAATACGTCGAAACAATTAGGCAAGTTGTTGTTGAGCAGAAAGGAGTTTCAAAGTTGTTCGATTTTCTCTCTCACATTTACTGTGTTACTAGTAAGCTTTAATATCTCCTTACTTAAATATTTGATCAACCTCACTTTAAGTGACATAAGGTTATACGATCAGAAGTTTATTTTATGAGTCAGATGTGGCGTCCTGCGGAAATATACTTAAAACACCTTTTTGTTTATCTTTCCTTTTACAATGCAACATCCGTTTCTAACCCATAAGTGAACTGGAATGTGTTCACTACTAAATTTGTATGTAAAATATATTCTGATTTCATCTTAGTGACTGTATCACCTGCATACCTCAGCCATATCTTCAGAAAAAGTTTATATTTAAGGGCTATCGTTTTCCAACTACCAATAAATTTATCTACCGAGATACAGTGATCTAATGATCCCATGACAGCACTTTCTGTATTCTTTTATACTTTATTTTGAGAATTATATACTGCAGATGTAGTACATTAATCATAGCACGATCTCAAATGATACTTTAATTTGAAGTATTAGCTTATGGGCATCATCGACCTCAATTTTAGCTTCCTCTAGGGCCACTTCCATTAGTATACACGTTAGTCACACTCAAGCCAACCATATATTTACTGTTACCTAGCTATATATCATCTGTTCCATACCCTGAGTGGTAAGAACTAGTAAGTCCAGGTTTTGAACGGTTTCTAACTGAACCTATATTACCACAATACACTCGACATTTCATAGATTTAAATGCTTCTACAACTGAACATTAGTGCGATGGAAAAAACTGGTTCACGAATGTCAACAGTGCCATAAGTCCTACTGAGATTATTAGTTTTCGGTGTTTAGTAAAAACAGTTTGACTCATTCGCTGTATTAGATTCACTCTGGATTCTCCAACCTTGCTGATAAGTGCCTACCAGTTTCTTAGTTTCCCTATATGGTACTGTTTCTTTATATTTATAAATGTTTGAACATAGATTTTAGTTAGATAGAGGCAATCGGCAGGATACTTTACTTGACCTTAGTTTTTTGCTTGTTAGTGCTCATTGGAGAGGCATATCTGAAACTTAAAAGGAATTGATACCTTGTCTTAGATTTGAACCTACACTACTTAGTACTGCGATCAGAGAAGTTACCATTTATATATATATATATATATATATATATATATATATATATAATATTGGTTGAAAAAAATTCTTATCAGTTAAAACGTATTTTTTCCAACAACTTTATTATGAAGATGTACATTTCTAGTAATAATTTGCGAAACTAAATATTTGCACTAACACGTCACCCAGTTAGTGTGCAGCACGAATCTGTTTGAATGGAGAGAATTTAAAAAAGTACATTATCAAGAGTGAAATTAGGCTCGAGTACTATCAAAAATATGAAGTCCCATAAAATGTTTTAAGTGCATTGTTAAGGCGAAGTTGTGGAAAACGATTCAACAAAACGCGTGTGTTTACATAACTCAAGTTTCTATTCATGTATAAATTATGCCTCAGTGATTTATAAGTGGTGGAAACCAAAATCTTTACATTAGTTTAGTTTAGCTCTGTAAACAAATATTCTAACTTCACAACGTGTTCCCATTTGGATGCTGTCGTTCTTCCCTCGTCTTTCTCTGATTTACTTATACAGTCAATACTGCTCATTATTGAATTCAATTCTCATATATAACACTTGTTAACCGTTCAAATGTTTCAGGAAAGAGGGCGTTCCCAACGCTGCACTATGAAAGTGAGTCGTCAGAATTTCTAAATGTTATGTTTTTTTATGTACAATACTGCATATACATGAAGAGTTTAAGTACTTATCAGGTTATCGTTCTCATACAACAGCACTTAATTTTATATCATTCTGTTTAGTTCAATGATACATTGCATTACATACCTGATTCAAATCGCATAACTGGTTAAATTCCAATGAAAAAAATGAAATTTTAATAAGATTGGAGGAGAATAATAATTACCCTTACTTTTAAAGCGTAATTAACTAACTTATGAAAGTCAGTTTTCTACCAAACGATCACAAAGGTATGACACTTTAATTTTCATAATTTCCCCTGAAAGACTTGGGCCGTTGCAGAAAAATCTTGCACAGTTCTGTGAGATTTGATGGATACAAGTACCACTCAATAGACAAATGATTATACTTCCATTATTATCGAATAAAACTTATTATATCGGCCAAATTTCCGGGTTGATTTACATTCTTTTGTATAAACTTCATAAGAATTTTAAAGATTGAAAATCCACTGTCTTGCGAAGTTAAATTCATAGTGGAAAATGAAAATGGTTCCTGAGAAGAATGACTTAACTGAGTGGTTTGTAAGACATTTTGTCACTAAATTTAAACATCTAGCAGCTTTCTAAAATAAACAGTTAAAGTTATTTCCCATTTTATTATTACTATGAAAAATGTTTGGTGAATAAAATATTGATCTAACGGGTCTAGATGTTTTACAAACTCCCTGAACATGATTTGTCTATTCTTCATGAGAAGTATCAATTCCATCAAGAACAACCTTTTATTGTTTACATAAACTGACCCATTTATTATTTTATCTTTAACTTTGAAAACTTAGTCATAACAATTAGATTTTTGTCGATCTTGACTGGGTTGCAAAATCAGTCGAAATCTCCAAGTAATGAAGAAACTAAGTTCGAATACTTTTGGGAACTGACAGAGTTCAAAGTATTATTCGTCACGATTCAATGGCAGTTGGAGAACCAATGAAAAATTAGGAGTAGTGACAGCTGCTTTTTTCCACTAGGATACTTAGTTGTGTTCACCCATGGTTTAATCAGGGAATGAACTCAAAACTACTGAGTCCTGTGATGAGCACGTTACTTTTCAGAAAACGAGTTACAATCCGATAGTTCACATTATCCTACTTCAGTCAATTTGAAGCATAGCCCAATAGGCATATAATACAATCGATGAGTATTTTTCCTCATATTAGACTTAGTCGACCCTACGAATGATTGCTTCTCATAAGAACTTCGAAAAATCTATCTCTGAAAACTAATAACCAATCAACCGACTCAGTTTGATCATTTAATAAGACTAGATGTTTTTAGGACAGTATTAGATGATAATTATGCTATGTCGTGAGTCGATTGAGGTAGAAGAATCCAGATCGCTGGAGAGACCATGGGTACGCAAAGTTAGGGAGTTTTACACTGGTAAGAAAAAACTACTAATTGATTATAAGTTTCCAAACTTTTTCTGAATGGTATCTATTTTTAACGAATACCTCCTTAAATAATAAATAAAATTTCAAAGCTTAACCCTTTTTCTGGGTGACATTCATCCACATAGTTTATTAATATAAGTCCCTAAAAGCTTAACAGACGATGCCACAATACAGCAACCACTAACCTTTTCGATGTTTTCAATGGTTGACTCAATGTTGCTAATTCTAGTCAATGATAAATAACCCCTGGTAATCACATACAAGAAGCCACACTTTATGTCATGAAATGATGCTAACTTTTGATTAGCTAATCATTATGGAATCGACTGGTTACTGAAGTGCAGTGTATTTACAGTGTATTTTCAATTTTACACCTCTTCTCTAGGAAGCAAAGGACAATGATTTATTTATGATATGTTATACAAGTGGATCACTAGGTAAGTTTGCTAGAATTCTTTCGCTTTTCAATACACTTATTAATTATGACAAATGAAGAATTTTGAGTTTCAATATCTGAAAGTAACCCATGCATTTTATTAAGTAATGAAACTTATAGAATGCTGTCATAATTACTGCCACTACTTTATTCGCTTAGTAATAGAATACCAGCATGTGAAATAAAGCAGTTCAACTTATGCATTTTTCTTCCGAAAGATGAACGACGATTCCCGTCGACACACTAACTGATAAAATCAAACCAACAGAAGTTGAGTGAAAACTAAAGTTGGAATTTAGTTTCACGAATAATCAGTCCCATTGTCAAATATCAGAGTATTTGTAACTGCATGTAAACTTCAGGATTCTTACAAAAAGTGGTACGCCAAAAGCATAGTCAAAAAATAAGGCCCACTAGATTAGTTTGTGATGAGATTTAATCAGCATAATTTTAGTAGTTATTTAATTAGCAATATTATTTTGATCAGACCTGCATATTACAACCAGCGATAATAATGTGCCTATCAATGTTATGAATAAATTTTCGTGATGTAATGCGAAGATGGAGGTTATCTGATAAAGGTAGTATATTCGCGTAACACATTTCGAACAGTCTGATCACAAATTCACTTGTCAAGGCATTTTATATGATGGATAAAAAAATAGGGTCGGATAAGATAGATAAATTAAGATTATAAAGATTTGGAAAATATTGGGACAATAAGGAAGAATAACAGATTTTCACACGTCTCTTGGACTTAAAATGAAATAAAGATTTACAAGATAGGTTTAAGGTACGGACAAGTTGTTTTTGAATACAAAAAGCGGTTTGAACTTTCGCACAGCTAAGGCTTCATTGGACCTAAGTATACTATCATGACTGCTAAATTATGATGGTCTATAGGCTAGTTTGAAGTCAGTCCTGCAACCTGTTCTTATAATATGTTTACCTATCGACGATTACATCTGTCCGTCCTCTGTATTTATCGGATAATTTGAAGGTAATTGTTTGTCTAACATGCTCCACCACCTATGACTTCTTGGTTCGATTACTCTCCCCAATCTGCGTGTCGTCGCACACACACAAATCGGTATACACAGTGGATGTGACGTGATCATCTATGTAGTGATAAGGTTCGGTTTGAAGCATAGGTTCCGTTTGCTCTAAAACTGAATTAGGCCTTAGTCTTAAGATCATACCGTTTGATTTCATCTTATACGGTAGCGGGACAGAATACTGATTACTTCACACCGTTGAGACGTTTTGATAACCACTGATGAACTTCAGATAATATACATTTTCCATGAGTGTCACCGTTAAAATTTCAATTCTTCTTACAATGTATCTATTATACAGATACCTTGAGCACTTTAAATAAACATTTCACTAAACCTCTTTTGTACTGTATTGGATAGAAACTATGAAATTCAAGGTACTATCTGGTGTAAGTAAGTTTTCTATACACTGATCTTCTTATCAACCCGTCTTCCCTTTTCATCCATCATATAAAATGCCTTGGCAAGTAAGTGTGTAATCAGATTGTTCGAGATGTATTGCTTGAATACATCATATTTCTCAGACAATCTCCGTCTTCTTATTGTATTACGCAAGTTCATCAAGGAAACTAACTGTTTCAAATACATTTTCCTTAAACTAAGTGATATATATAGAAAATTATCATAACAACACTAAGTGTAGGATATTCTTATTTCCAATGGTCAATTTGCTTTGAATTCATAAGTATGAAATTGTCTGGTTTAATGCATTTTAAATAGAGTTATTAGTTACAACTTGAAGTTTTATTGAAGTCATTCAATAAACTAGATATTATGAGGTTACTTGTATTACCTCATCATTGATTGGACTGACCGTCCTCTGTTAGTATATAGGGTTTTGTGCGGATGCCTGACTATTGTCTGTATTTTCTATTCTGATATTAACAATGGATAGTGGCTAGCAGTGGAATCCAGGACGTGCATCTTGTCCTGTTTGGGACTCGTAAATTAATGACCCGGTGAAAAACGCTGTGGGGTTTGAAGCAATCAATGCAGAGCTTAAGCTTTAATGGAAACAACATCTTTAACTGTAAAGCAGGTACATCCAACTAATGAGTTAGTCCCAAATAAGACAAAAAGCGCGTTTATGATTTCCATGCTAGCCACTATCCATCGTTAATATCATAATTGGATAACAGTTGAAAAGAGAATATCTCAGTCTGTTGTCATAGAAATTCTTCACTTGAACAGCTCATCACATTCAGGATTGATTCAGACAATTTTAAGTCATTTAAGATAATTAACTTCAACCAAGTAAACATTTGTTTCGTCACATCACCTTAAAAGAGCTCAAAAGCCTCCAATTTTTGATCCTGCTCACTAATGTAAATCAAACATTTTGCCCTGATTAATGATATTCCATTTCTTAGGTTTATCTCTTTATTATCCTGTCTACAATTATTTATTTTAGGCTTGCCTAAAGGAGTAATGCTTACATGTAAAGCATATGTAAATGCAATTCATCGGACTATCAGTATTCAAGAAGAAAATGTTAGTCAATATTGTAGTTATTATTTATTGTTATTCTGATATTCAGTGATATTTTGAATGATACACTGAAGTGAGAAAATGATATATATTACTAAGATACAGATAGTATGGCAATTTTAAACGTTCTCAGAGTAATACTTCATAAGGTTAGGTTATCTTCATTCATAATTACAGCTTATAAAACATGACTTGTTTCCCTATAAATCCACATATTTAATTAAATTTTCTTTATTCATTCAAACCAATCCTTTCGATCTATGGACAGTCTTTCGAAGCAAATTGCAGTGTTTGTTATACTTGCCTGTTACATTGTAAAACGTTCTAGAATTACTTTAGTGAATTTATTTCAAATAGAAGAACCAATCCAATACATATATGTTTATACTCTCACTATAATAACACTATACTAGCTAAGATGATGAAACACTTTTAGTCTGCATTCTTCATGAACATACCTTTGATATACTAAAGCTTCTTAACAAACTAAATCGAAACATTAAATTTACAATGATATACAAGGAAAATGAGGAATTTCACTTCTTAAATCTTAGTACTCAGCTGTATAAAGACATATTCCAAAATGTGTCCATCGGAAAAAAATATAAAGAACTTTCTACTTAAATACAGCCACTTTCAACTGACAAGCTCCAAAAGACGGTTAGTATGTGCACATTTCCATAGGACAAGGAAGACTTATTCAAATAAAAACCTAGAAAGAGAGCTCTTCATTTCTGAAAAATGCTACCGTGGCATTCGTCAGGCACAGTTAATCATCAACCATTATAGACTGGTACAATGAGACAGTAAAATGTGAGTTACGTGAGAAGAATATTCTTTTCCTACCCCTTTATTTAGAAGGTGATGAACCTGTTGATAAAACTGAATTCTGACTATATGTCGCACTCAGCTTGTTTTATCGTATCTTATTAAATGATGTCCATGATAAGTGATCAACTTTCGCTCTTCTTATTTTCACTCATGTTTGATAGTTTGTGCGTACATGCGGAAGGACATACATGTTAAATCACATTTCAAAGCGTCACCTGTTCAATGACAATCATGATGCTTTTTTGAGATCACTTAGACTTATTACCAAGAAAATGAACTTGAATAAACTGCATTCCAATAAAGGGATCGTTATCATGCAAATCAGACAGTCTATGTTTTCAGAAGGAGTAAACTGTCACTCTTTATACCCACTTAATCTTTTATGTTTGCATTATTTCTCTTCTTGATGTTCATGTAGTTTGAGATATCTTTTATCTCGAGAAAAGCTACATTTTCATTCCTTTTCCTCACAATCTCCATACAATGCCCATTTACTTTTCTTATAACACATAAACCCATATTGACCGTCCCAAGGTTTTTTCCAACTTTCTGGATTTATTAATGTTGTCTACACATTTCATCCTTAGTCATTTTCGTATAAACTCGACTGAAGTATGTACGAATGAGGGGAGAAGCACTCTCAACAGCGCAGTCATTCGACATCTAATTGACACTGAATATCAAGCAGACGTCTTTAATTCCTTGAAAAATAATAAGCAGACAAACAGGCCCAATCCTCCTGAAGTTTGCTGAAGCCATAGGCATCAAACACTTAAGACCTGATTTTGTGTTCAAAAAGAAGCTGTAGTCAACCCCTGTCTACCTTGACAACCCTTCTTAACTGTTGTTTGATTACGTCACTCTTCATTAACTTTAGACGTTTGTTCCTTCACTTATTTAGTTGCATCATCTTTTGTTCAAAACGAATATTTTTTATTAGCTCAGCCTAACTCATAAAATTTATCGTATGACCTACTTAACCTTGAATGTCAATAAAATCACATATTTTGATGACTTGTAGAGTGCTAAGTTTTGAAACAACATTTTAATGAAATCTTTAAAGCTTACGCGGTGGCGGGGGGTTGGGATGAGATTTGTAAATAGTCTTGACGATGGAAACTTAGTAGTATAACATCTTCATTTTGAAGATTAGTAAATTAGCCTTTACTCTATTATCAAATATTTACAACATGGGCAGAAAACTTCTATTACCATCGTTAGTACAGAAGCTCAAATGTTGTCTTTGTAAGCTTAAAAATGATCCGAGTTCATTTACATACATAATAGTTTACGAATACTTATCCCTTTTTGGATTGAAAAAATAATCTCGATTTTTCATTTAAACAAGAATAAATCATGTGAAATATTAGTGGACGTTAATCGGAAAGAAACTTCCCTTCGCCTCAACCATTATTCAAATTTTTGTGACTAAATGACAATAATTTCTGTATTTTTTAAATATTCAGTTTTTAAAGGAGAGTTTTTGCATGTAGTTTACTATCTCACACACTACAACGTGTGCTTGTATTCTCGAAATGGTGTTCAGTGTTGGCATTATCACTTACAGTTAACACAAGATACCGTAAAAGGTGAAAATCGAATAAAGTTGATTCGATTTGTGTAATGAAGCTACAAGTAATCATCAGGGTTTCCTACCGATTACTTCCAACCACCACGCATTATTCGAAAGAATAATGACGGTGAGTCTCCGGGTTTGGTGACACAATGAGAATGATTGGTAAAAAGTGGTCAGCACTTACGACTGTCAACATGAAATTAGGTAATAAAACAAAGACATAATTAGGAAGAAGATTTCCTCCGATACTCAATTAATGATTTAATTCAACTGCTTTAGTATGAAAAATGTTCTACGGAATGAGTTTTAACTAAGTATTTATATATAGAGGATGTTTGTTTGCCTACAGTTTAGGAATAACTCGCAGAAGCACTTATTTAGAGAGCAGTCAAAACCGGCGTCAAACCGAGAAGTACTTTGTCAGGCAACTGCTTCAATACTACGCAATACCACAAACCTTTATCAATCTCATTCAACACTATATGAAGAAGCCACATGCCAAGTTTATTCAATGGAAGCTCGGTGATGCTTTTTGAAGTGGAGACAGGAGTAAGACAAGGCTGATGCCAACTATCACCCATGATATTCCTGATTGTGGTCGACTCGAACTGGACCATGCAACAAACAGTGAGGAGCGAGAAGAGGGGGATACGCTGGCTGAACCGGGGAAAAAGAACATACGATTTGGATTTCACCGTGACTTGTCTCTGGTGTCGCACAAACTGGAAGGTCTACAGGCGAAAACTAACAAGTTGACAGAAGAGGCAGGGCACGAAGGAGATGTGAATTCAAGTGAACGTGGAGAAGACAGAAGTGATGAAAATACCCAACCAACACCACCACCAACAACAACAAGCTGCAATCACATCAACAGGAGAAACTGAAAGGAAGTAGCCTCTTCACCTATCTAGGAAGCATCGTTTTCAACTACAGATGGCGGCTCAGACAAGGATGTCAACGTCAGAATGGAAAGACAGCAAGACATGCGTTCATTGGCGTGAAGCCAGTGTGGAGATCTACTGTACTGCACTCAGCATGTGGAACAAGATTCGGATTTTCAACACCAACGTGAGTCAAGTCAGTGCTTGTGCATGGCTGAGAAACTGGGCGCGTTACGAAAGGGATTTCCAACAAACTATAGACATTCATCAACAACTGCCTACACTGTCTCGTTACTGAAGATCGGATGGCCAGAATGCTAAGAATAAGCAACAGTGAACTCTGGCTGGCTGACTGGTAACGAACCAACTGAGAACCGATCGTCCAACTAATATGCACTGGAATGAATTGGAGATGGATTGTGCATACACTGAGAAGGCCAACTGGGGACATCATGCGTCAGGCCTTCGAGTGGAACCCAGATGAGAAGTGATGAGTTGGGCGTCCGAGGCGAGGGTGACATGGAGGAGATTGTATGAGGAAGAAATGAGAGCTTGTGGTTGTCGTGGAGCCAGGTTCAAGAGATTTCAGAGGACAGAGTGGACTGGAGACGTGCTACTGAAGGTGTATGTTCCATTTGGACCCCAAAGGACAAATAATAATAATTCCACACACACAGTTTAGTTGTTGTGTTGCTATTTACAGCCAGAGACAGATGTCGAAGTGGAGGAAGATTGATGACATCTGAAAAAGAAAAGCAAATTTTTCTACATATCTTTTCAGAAAATCTTCATGAAGCAAAAGCCGACTGCTTATTCTTTTCTGCTCATATCGCTATATATATTGTTCTGAAAGTTTTCAAAAAATGAGCCACAGGAAGCAAGGAAATGTATTAATTAAAACAAATAATTCTGGTAGTAGTAAAATATCTTTTCTATTTTGTGGAAGTAAAATTATATAAAATTTGTGTAGGCATCAGGTACGTGGTTCTGTAACATTTTATTAAATAATCTAATTTATTGCATTGATTAAATAAGTGTTCCCAGGGATATTCTTTAGAGTTTTGTCATACGTTACATGAATTAAAAATGTGTGTTTACCAATGGTTACTGCTATTTATTTCCTGGTTTATTAAGCATACTCAGTCTGTAAGAACTAATGGAGCTTTTCAGTTGTTAAGGCTCACTTGGAAACAGTGGATATGTTCCGCGGAATCATTAGCAGTAGTCTTACTTTAATTAACCGTCTTTTTAACCATACTGTTTCTTACAAAGTTAAGGTAAGTGGAATTCATTTGAGAAGTAAGGTTTTGTATTGCTATTGAGATATAACTTACTTTTTTTTAGCTTTATTTATGTGCACTTACTTCAATTCTTTTTCAGTTTAAAGAGTGGGGTTATGCCGAAAGAAGAGCATCAAGCGATTATCATTCATCCTGAGTTTCAGGTCTTCTCTACTTTTTGTTTATCTCTTTCTAAAGGTGCTAGCTCAGTGAGACTTTGCAAAATAATATGTGAGTAAGGTGGTAGTTTTTTTTACCTCAGTTTAATTTCCTTCTATACAGCAGACAGTGCGATCTAATTTGATATCCCTGTTCCAACATGGTGAAGTTTATTCATAATGGCATCAGTTTTCAAAAGATCAATAAACTTAGCAACATGGCAATGGAATTATAATGACCGTGTAGAATGTTTGAGATAAGATATCAACAGATGTAGCAAGAACAATAAGTGGAATATGAAAAACATGATTCCTA